CCCCCCCCATCCCCCATCCCTTTGCTGTGTGAAATATTACTTAGACGATAATGACTTTGAAACATAGTTTGGTAGAATATGAATTATCTTATTGAGTAATCAATTTATCATAAACAGGTTTTATCAGGAAACTCAAACAGAGATGAAGTTCGCGCCAACCTTCTAGAGAACAGAATATCAGCCCGCTTCTTCCGCGTAGTCGCACAGACATGGCATGCAGGGATTTGTATGAGGATTGAACTTTATGGGTGTCCAGACGAACGTAAGTATACCAGTTACACAAGGTGGATGATAAGAATCTGTTGCCCTTTTTGACACATTAACGTAAGAGGAGGGGTTGTTTAGTAGTTTCAATATTTCTTTCTCGATCTAGGATTCTGTGACAACACCCCACTGGGACTTGAAAGTGGGACAATCCAAGATTCCCAAATGAACGCATCGTCTCAGTACAACACCAGTTACTCAGCGTCCAAGGGAAGGTTACATTACACAGGAGGCCCATCGTGGTGTGCATCTACAAGTGATCCTAATCCATATCTACAGATTGACTTGGGGTCGCCTCACGTGATCTGTGCTGTAGCCACACAGGGAAATTTTTACGAGAAACARTGGACTAAATTTTACACTTTGCAAGGGTCATCAGACGGAACAACGTTTAATGACTACTTAGAAGGAAATACCAAAAGGGTTAGTGAAAGACTTGCGCACAAATTAGACTGCGAACAGTCCCAATTTTTCCTCCAGATTCAGTATAAGACAAGTTTTTAGGATCCCTGTGGACGCGCGGAGAATAGAGCCGAGTATAGTCSGTTTCCTCTCCCCGCGTGTCGCTTCAAATTAGTCTCCATTCCCCGCGCTTCCAAAATAAGGGGAAAAACATGACTGACTTATTAAAAGGGAAAAAAGGGACTGATAATAGTCAATGTTAATGTACAAATTTAAGATCAGACCCCCACCGGTACTGACTTGAATTTCCGTTATCCCATTTTACCTGTCAAAAACAAGCATATTTAATTCTTTATTTCTTTTCGTCAGACTTTCGGTGGGAATTTTGACCAGAACACAGTCGTTCAACTCTCTCTTAACGAGGGTTTTATAGCTCGATACGTGCGTTTGCTTCCCGTGTCCATCAGTCAAGGTGCTTATTGTATCAGAGCTGAAATATATGGAATGATCCCATCAGGTACTTGACAAGTTTCTTATTGTGCAGCGGACATCTTAGCTTAATATTGTTATATGTTGTCATATGACAAACGGTGTGGTGTGGTGTGGTGTGGTGTGGTGTGGTGTGGTGTGGTGTGGTGTGGTGTGGTGTGGTGTGGTGTGCTTTGGCGTAGTGTGGTGTGGTGGTGGGGTGTAGGTGTAGGTGTGGTGTGGTGTGGTGTGGTGTGGTGAGGATTATTAAGGTATGGCCGGTGTGGCGTATTGTGGTGTGTTGTTGTCTTTCGTATTGTGGTCGGGTGTAGTGTGGTGTATTTATAGATTGTGATGTGGTATATTTTATTGAAATGAGGTGTGATATGCGGTGATATGTTGTGCATGATGTGACTGCATGGCGTGGCGTGTAATGAAGTGAATACGTATAACTTGTACCATTTTCTCACTGCTAACTAAAATTTTACAATTCTTCTTTTCAACAAGTTTGTCAGCGCTCTGCAGTTGGTATTCGCGCATCAAGTAACGTCCCAGATTACAGAATGACAGCGTCAACTTACTACAGCTCCACCTATGCTATCTACTATGGAAGGTTGTACAGTTCATCATCTTGGGCGACAAGAAGAAACGATGCAAATGATTACCTGCAAATCGACCTTGGAGCGATGCACTTGTTGTGTGCTTTAGCAACACAGGGCGCTGCTAGTCTCAATGAATGGACAAAAACATACAATGTTTCGCTGTCTGTGGATGGCGTGACGTGGAAGATTTACGAAGAGAACAATGCACAAAAGGTAAATCTCAATGACAAAGTGATTGCGTGACAGGTGTGATTGTGTGACAAGTGCGTGACAGTTAAATTAAATGCTGGAAGCACAGGTGGCGTAAAGCACCTTTTCTCACCGCTGGGGTCATGAGTTCGATCCCCGGATTCACCATCATGCTGAAAGTGTGAACAAACATATTTCTTTTCTAACATATCATAGGTGTTCACTGGCAACACTGACAAGAATACAGTAGTCAATCAGACGATGGCGAACCCAACAGCTGCAAAGTACATCAGATTCTATCCCAAAACGTACGACAGCCACAAACAGTTGAGAGTAGAGGTATATGGATTAAGAAAAGGTGAGTTATATGGAAGATTTTGCGACCTTTTTGAGGTAATCCACTTTTCCCGCTCTTTTTTGTTCTTCCAGTAGACGCGTGTGCCATTTGTCGGAATTCAAAGTTTCCCGCTCTTTTTTTTACCACGAGGAAACGAAATTCCAACCGGATGGATTAGTTTAAATGATCGAGTGTTAAGCACCTTTTGAATAGCCCTGTTCAAGAGATTCCTTTCATTCGTGTTTTTAGAATGCAGATCTCCTCTAGGAATGGAAAGCTTCATGGATATCGACCCAGTAGCACAGCTGTCTGCTTCGTCTCAGTCAGACGCAGCTCATTCTGCTGCTAACGGTCGCCTATATGGCACTTCAGCCTGGTGCACGACCAATACTGTCAATCAATACATACAAGTGGATCTGTTGGTAGCCATGAGTGTTACTGGGGTAGTAACTCAAGGGGATGCTGACGCTTCCAGTACAAAATGGGTCCGGACTTATGATATTCAGTTTGGCTACGCCACGAGTAAATGGTTTCTGGTTAAGGTAGGTAAAAATGGGAATGAAAATGAGAATGGAATGGGAAAGGGAAGGGAAAAGTAATGCAGAAAGTGAAAAACAAACTGAAAAAAGTGACAAAATAAATATGAATGAATAAATGAATAATTGAAAGCGAAAAACACAAAACAATTGAAGTAAAGAGACGATATGAAAAAATAAAAATGTTAGGGAAAGCGAAAGAAAAGTTTAAAAGAAGAAAGAAATTAAAATCAAAATTATACACCCAAAAAGTTGAAATAGACAGGAATTGAGAAAAGAAAAGCAAAGTAAAAAGATTGATAAAAACATTTTACAATGAGATTACATGAGAATGAAAAATAGCAAAAAAAGTGAAAGCTTGATCGAAAACAAGTTTGAATATAAGAATGAAAATGTATCTCTAAGTGAGAAAAATGAATGAGAAAACCGACGAAGACAGAGATAAAAACGGATATAAATTCCATAAGTACCTGATTCTGTGTTTGTCTAGGGTATCCAAGGCAACACAGATTCAAAAAGCACCGCAACTCACTGGTTCAGTAAACCAATGGGTGCGCGATATGTTCGTATTCTACCACGTACATGGAGCACTTCTATATGCTTAAGGATGGATGTTTATGGCTGCAAGCAAGGTAAACTAATACCTCTTAATTATGACATACTTACTTACTCAACGAAAAGATAGATGAAGAATTTACGGTAGGGTGTTTAGCTCTTGAGAAAGAGGACGAAAATAAGGTGATCTTACCATAGTGGGATTTTTTTTATGGGCGAAAAAAAACTCGCTTCATTAACGTTTCAAAGATTTACTCCTTTCGAAGCAAAAGCTTATACTACACAAGAGTTTCGAAATTTACTGACATCGGTGACGTTACTTGATCCAAATTTCCGCTGTCATACTTGACTGCAGACTCATTTCTACATGTTTTAGCCTTGTTTAAAGCGAATCATTTACAAAAGTCAACTTTAATGTAAAAGAAATGTAACGTACGTTTTAAATGAGTCTGCAGTCTTAAAAAACAGCGGTATACATCGAATGAGGAAAATTATTGATCATGAAATCCCCGATCTTTAACAATATGGACCAACTTTGTGACTCTTTTTTTGTGACTTTTTTTCCGAAAATGAAAGTTGTTTGATATATCCCATCTTAAGGTAAATAACTACTATAGACCAAATTCAAAACTCGCACCGATGTGAGGCTTAAGTTGCGAACAAAGGAATCTRGCGTGATTCGTGACTTTTGAATCACGCCAGATTACTTTGAGTCACGCCAGATCCCTTTGTTCACAACTTAAGCCTCACATCGGTGCGAGTTTTGAATTTGGTCTATCCAAGCAGCAAAAATACCTTAATACTTTCTGTATATGTGTTTATAGTTGCGCCGCCAAATATCGAGACATTACAGTCAGTCACCAACCTCACAGCTTCCGTAGGCTCTACTGGTCAAATATCTTGCTCAGTCTATGCTCTTCCAAACATCCGGGTTACCTGGAAGCAAGGTCAAACAAACGTGACGTCATCATCACAAATATCCTACTTGAACGGCTTTGCTAATTCGGTTCTCAGTGTAAACTTCACTAGGGCAGATGACTATGGAGATTGCTTAAGAAGTGACCCGACGTCACGTTCGGTAGTTTGCAGTATTAAAGTCACTTGTGAAGTGTTTTATGACAATGTGATAAATGGGCCGGCTGATACCATGCATGGAAAAGTGTTTGTAGAATTGGGTAAGAAATGTTATATAATGAGGGTAGAATCTGGGTGCCATGCGACTCGACACCAAAGGCATTTTCAGTTCAGGTTGGGTCTAAATCACAGGTTATCCCCCCTCCCCCCAAACAATTAGTCTAGACGWGAAAGTCTCCTAATGTCTTAGGGGAAATTGAAAATGAGGAAAAATGGAAGAAAAATCGAAAAATGATCTAAGAATCTGCAAATTAAGAAATGAAACTTCGGTCAAATTTTATCAACTTGAAAATTTCTGCTTTAAATTTCTATCCGGCCCATACCCTGGAACAACCTCTGGGCTGTTCAATGTCAGGGCTTGGCTAACTCACGGATTGAAATGGAATGAAACTTTAACCCAGAGAAAAACCTTCGAATCTAATTTATGTGATGGGAATCGAACCCGAAATTCTAGATGTTCTTACTTCACCCACTTGCATTCACTGATTATTCAATCTCATGCACGACACATTCAATTCCCCATGTATTACGGCCATTTTTCGAGTGCAGTTACAGAGCGATAAGACACGGTCTGTGAACCGGTTTTGAACGTTTTTTTTTTTTTTGCTGATGTCAGCGCGAGGAAGTTTTCTCTCTTTTCCTTTGTGCGACTCACACATCATTGGCTTGAGTTCGTGACTTTCAAGTTTGCTTGCTTACAATAAAAATGGTTGTTTTTCATGCACTCTTTCTCGTGTTGTACAACATTTATTACACTTCGAGTTGTGTATTAAAGACGGATAACTCACCCCTACTTGGCTCGAAAAAAGACAGCCGCTTTCACTCGTAAAATTATCCGGCTGTAATACACCAGTAGAAGTGTGATAAACTCAATGTAATTTCAGACGTTCCTTCCGCGCCTACAAGTTTCAGCGTTGGAAGTATCCTTGACAACTCAGCGTTACTAACATGGAGTCCAACTGCACCAACTGTACGACAAGCCACTATAGAGCTGTATAAGGTTGAATATAACGTTGAAGGGGAACAGAGAGTGTTCCTGGACACAACAAGTGGAGATAGTAAGAGCTACACTATTGGAGGATTGTTATCTAATACGTCGTATGTGGTGAAACTAAGTGCTGTTAGTAAGGTTGGAGATGGTACCTCGGTCACAGAGCGCTTCCGAACACGTCCTACAAGTAAGAAAAGAAGAATCACTAAAGGCGCGACTACACGGAGCAATTTTTTTTGCAACTTGTCTCGCAAAGGCGTTGCCAAACAAATTGCATGGAGCATTGCAGCGTGTAACCTACAGCGCAATTTGAAAAATATATTGCGAGATAAGTTGCAGCAATCGTTGCAAAAAGTAGAATTTGTTTATACTTTTAGTAACAATTGTGTCTCCGTTGCACCGTGTAAACATTTTTGCGACTTGTGTCGCAACGCTGTCGTTGCCTTAAGCTTTGCGTAATGACTTTTAAAAAAGTTCTTGGGTACGATTTGTTATTGATCCTGCTGGTTCAACTATTATTTTTGTCGTTTATCTTCTTCTTCTTCTTCTACTTCTACTACTACTACTACTACTACTACTACTACTACTACTACTACTACTACTACTACTACTACTACTACTACTACTACTACTACTACTACTTATGTTGCCGCAGCTGCTACCACTACTCCTTCTTCTCCTTGTTCTTGTTCTTCTTCTTGACTTTAGTAATAGCTCTAAACCAACGCTAGTCAGAGACAAACAAATCCTTTTGTTATTTTTAGTACTTTGCCAAAATAGAGCAATAGGCATGGAACTAGGCTTGATACCAGACCCCTACATCACAGCATCATCCCTGATGAACAACTCAACTCTCCCCAGCAACGCTCGACTCAATAAACTCACTGGCTCGTGGTGTGCCTCTACAAGTGACTCTTATCCATATCTACAGATTGACTTGGGCTCGCCTAACATGATCTGTGCTGTGGCTACACAAGGAAACAGCATGTCAGACCAGTGGGTGACAAGTTATAATCTGCTCTTATCCGATGATGGGATAAATTGGAGGTACCTCCTACAGCAACAGAGACGGAAAGTATGTCGCACATTTTAATAGAAATCAATTTTTTTACAATTTATATTTCAAGAGCCCGAAACGTTTTTGAATTTTTCAATCTTATTGTCTTTTTATAGTCGCCATCTTGGTTGAATGCAACAAAAGCATTTTTCTTTGATTTCTCACATAATGTCATCCAACATGGCGGCCATGTTATTTTATTCAATTCTTCGATTGCACGTTACGTCATCGCGGCCATGTTGGTGCCATTTAACAAAAGATTTCTCATAAGCATCCATTGTTAATGGCACCACAATGGCCGCCATGTTTTTGTCTTTTGCCTCTTTTGGGAATGCTTGCAACCCATCAATTGGAAACTATTTTAATTCAAGGAAAACTCTTGTGATTTTTTAAAATAAGTGAATCATTCTCTCGTAAGGTTTTCCCAGGGAATACTGATCGAAACACAGTTATGAAGCATGTATTGGGATCAAGAGCTTCAGGGAGGTTCATTCGCTTCATTCCTCGAGGATACTACGGGCGTTCATGTTTGCGAGTTGAACTGTATGGAAGAGTGACCCAGAAAGGTAACTCAATGTACCATCTTCCTGTATAAATCATCATCCTTATTGTCCCACCAATACTAATCGAATCGAAATACAACAAAAACTACATCAGCAACAACTACATAAGCRACAACAACAGGAACATCAACAACAGCGACAACAACAGTAGCATCAACATCAACAAGAACAACAACAATTGTTTCTAAAAAAAGATTGATTTTAATGTGTTTATCGTTCAGAATGTGCTGACATATCCGTGGGTCTAGCGAGTGTCAACACCATAGTAGATCACCGATTCACGGCCTCCACAAAATATAACAACGACTACAAAGCCTACAAAGCCAGACTTGGAAGCAGCTCGGGTTGGGCGCCCAGCGGTAATAGTGACGCTAATGACTACCTACAGATTGATCTTGGAACTGTGTACAGGATATGTGCAGTAGCGACCCTTGGTAGCGCGAAGGCCGCCGCCAATGAATATGTTACCAGATATAAATTAYTTCTGTCTATGGATAATGCCATGTGGATGGTTTATAAAGTCAGTGGTAGCGAAAAGGTAAATAAATAGGCGCTATTAGATTACTTTTCCAAGTGTAAAAATCGTCTCGTGAAATATGAGACCGAAATGAATTGTGGATTGTAAACTACAATTTTGTTTTGTGATTTTATTTTAATTAGCAGTTCGATACAAGATTCACATGCCTACTGTATAACTTTGCTTCGTTCAGTTATACAGCACACTTCTCGATCAATCATATTGCCCCCAAAGTGACGAATTATTAAATAGCAATAAAATAATGTTTCAAGTTGATTTGTCATTCGATATATTTTAATTTTGTTTCTCCTCATAAGGACTGCTTATTATCCAGGGTAGGAAATTATTTTTCTCAGATATTCTATAACTTCTACTTTTTCTCCACAGATATTTCCTGGTAATGTCAATAAGAATATCCTGGTCAAAAACCAACTGACTGAAGCAATTTCTGCTAGATTTATACGCTTTAACCCTACAGGTTATTCTGGCCACAAGACTATGAGAGTGGAAATGTATGGTGTTCCTCAAGGTATTGTACTGGGTCCCTTTTTATAAATAGTATACTGACATATGTAAAGAAATTATACAAAAGAAAGTAGTTTTGAAATGGAGTACCCAAAACAAGAGAGTCGCTATTCGTAGGAGTATTTTCAAATCGAATTACATGGCGTACCCCAGAGGATTCTTTAGGGCCACTTGAAAACCACCTAGATGAATATAATATAGAATTATTTATTAATAGATCTTTCTTTGGACAGATTGTAAAGAACCACTTGGAATTGAAAACCGCGGCATCGAAGATGCTCAAATGACGTCATCGTCTGTCCTTGACAACAATCATGATTCGTCTCGTGGTCGTCTCTATGGCGACAGCTCTTGGTGTAGCAACATGGCGTCGAGCAGTGAATATCTACAAGTAGATCTTGGAATTATTAAGACAGTGACTGGTATAGCGACTCAGGGTGATAGCAGTGTGAATAAATGGATCGTGACGTATGCAGTGAGCTACAGCATAAGTGGTAGTGACTGGACTGTATACACCGCTGGGAAAACTATCAGAAAAGTGAGTATGATTTTTAAAACTTCAGATTGGGCATCAAAAATYAAAGTTTCAAATTTTGGCACATCCATAAAAATATGCAATTTCGAAAATAGACCAAATCTACCTGGATGTAATGTTTTCCCATTTCAGACCAAGCGTCATTCTCTTTTGAATAAGGGCTTTTGTTTGAGTTGTATCCGTATTCATGTGTCTTCTCATGCGCATCCGTTAAACAAAGAAGTGATACTCTAGGGAATGACACGTTGTCTGAATTGGAAAAAATTAGACCCAAGTGGATTTGGTCCATTTGTCAATGAATAGTGGAATTCTGAAAATGAAAAAGAAAAGAAAAAGAAAAGAAAATGAAAAACAGATTGAAAGCCGGAAAAATCCAAAATTTCATGGATACGGCAGGATTCCAACCTGCCAATGCGGAAAGGCTTTTTAATTTTTGGGTAACTTACAAAGCTTTTTCTCTCAATATTTTCTTATTATTTCCACGTAGTTTGATCGTCAGATCCTTAATGGTGCTTTTTCTCTCAATATTTTCTTATTATTTCCACGTACTTTGATCGTCAGATCCTCAATGGTAACAATGACAAGTCAACTGTAGCAGTCAACTGGCTTCCCTATCCTTTCAACGCTCGTTATGTACGCGTTATACCGCTCACATGGAACGCAGGGCCATGTTTACGATTCGACTTGTACGGCTGTTCAGGTATTGATCACAAATTTAACCTTTACAGTTTTTCAAAGCATTTCTCCCCCTTGCAGTAATTTTAATTTTCTTGCCATAAGCTGAACAATTGACGCACAAGGGCCAACATAAAGAGACTCCCGTAAAAGTACGTTGATCATTTCAAAAGGAAATAATCTTATTTTTATGTTGTTGGTTTTTTTCCCAGTCAGCTGTGCTAACCATGGCTTGGGGTTACAGCAGGGCGTAATACCAGATTCTCAGATTAGCGCTTCTTCTCAACACAACACTTCCACCGCAGCATGGAATGCCAGACTACATTACACATCAGGCCCATCGTGGTGTGCGTCTGCAAGTGACTCAAATCCATATCTACAGATTGACTTAGGATCTCCTCACGTGATCTGTGCTGTGGCTACACAGGGTGACCACTTTACAGATAATTTAGTCGAGTCGTATCAAATACAAGGATCATCTGATGGAGTGACGTTCACAGACTATAACCAAAACGGCGGTGTTAAGACGTTTGCAGGGAATTTTGATCGGAACTCAGTCATCAARCAGATCATGAAAAACCTCTTTATCGCCAGATATGTTCGTCTCATACCCGTGTCTTATAATGGACTTCCATGTATGAGGATTGAAGTGCATGGGACTAGCACGTCAGGGTGTCTCTCTCAACCAGTTGGCTTGCGTGTTGGTAGTAGCATACGAGATCATAGACTCGACGCTTCTTCAGTCTATTCAGCTGGCTATCCTATCTCCTCGGCAAGATTACACGCGCCAGATGCTTGGGCGACTAAAACTACAGGTGACAGTGATGACTATGTTCAAGTTGACCTTGGGTCGATGTATGCAGTGTGTGCTGTCGCAACTCAAGGTTCTCCTAAAATGAACGAATGGACGAAGACATACAAAGCTTCCACATCGTTAGATGGGACGACTTGGAATTTTTACAGTGAGAGTGGATCTACGCGAGTGAGTTTTTTTAAAATATGCATATTAGAATGATTGTCGTATGAGTTGGAAACTGATTCATAGCCGCCATCTTGATTAAATTGAACAAAAGATTTGTAATTAGTCTCTATTGTGATATCAATCAACATGGCCACGTTCTCTTTTATTGCTTATTTCTCTTGAGAGCCAGCATTTTTAGCACTTACATTTATCCACAACTCATAGTTGCAGCGACGACACGGCAAAAGTAAAGTACGAATTGATTTGCCGTATTGCACGTTATAATCGGACCACTTTGCTCATTTTACTTGACACACTAATCATAGCGTGAAGATGGGGAGGCAATGCTGCACAGGAACCTGAAACATCTGCGTTCTCGGATTATAATGTAACGAAACACGGCACGGTCACGGGATTGAAAAGATTTCAACCAATCACAATGCATCAAATCACTGCTCGACAAATGAAAAAGCTGTGACACGAAACCGTCATTGTCACGGCACATCATAATTCGATCTGTAATTAAAGTTAACATTTATTTATTTATTTATTTATTTATTTATTTATTTATTTATTTATTTATTTATTTATTTATTTATTTATTTATTTATTTATTTATTTTATTTTAATTAGATATTTACAGGAAATACAGACAAGAACACGGTCGTAAAGAATAACTTCGCCAATGCTGTAGCGGCCCGTTTTGTCAGGATTTACCCCGTTGACTATAATAGCCATAAAGATCTGAGATTTGAAGTTTATGGTATAAAACACCCGTGGTCTGTGCCCTTGGGTCTGGAAACAGGATCCATATCCGACACTCAGCTGACTGCCTCATCTTCATACAATTCTAGTCAAGCAGCTGCGCATGCGCGGCTGTACGGAGTCTCGTCTTGGTGCAAGTCACTTTCTTCAACAGGCGAGACGTATTTGCAGGTTGACTTACGGATGGTCTTACAAATAACTGGAATAACAACACAAGGGAATGCTGAGAATGCGTGGGTGACGTCTTATAACTTGGGGTACAGTTATTCTACGGGTGATTGGCAGTATATGTCTGGTATCCAAGGCAACGTCAATAAGAATGGCCTCGTTATTCATATGTTTAACCAACCAATCAGTGCTCGCTATCTTCGTTTGTTGCCAACAGCTTCGAACGTCGTAAGCTGTGTACGAATGGAAGTTTATGGAAATAAACTTGTGGAAAAACCTGAAATCTTGGCTTTTAACGGAAGTACATTCATCTCAGCCAGCAAAGGATCCTGGGTAGAGTATAACTGTAGTGTAAAGGCTCAAGAATTCGTCACGATACTATGGAAACACGGAAACAGAATCTTGTCAAGCAACTCTACATACGCCGGCGGAATTACACTTTCAAGGCTTATACTTAACTATACAAATGGCGACGAGTTTGCTGCGACATGCACTAAAACCAGCCTGAGTAGCCAGACCTTTAACTGTAACTCAACTATCACGTGTMAAGCTTTTTATGACTACCTTTTAACGGAGGGTTCTGCGAAGAGAGTCGGTACAGTGTACACAACAATTAAGCTTCCTCTTGCACCGGTCAATGTTACGTTCTTCAAGATTCGACATCACTCCGTTCAAGTTCACTGGACCCCGGGTCAAATGACAGTTGACCGGGCATCTATTAAATACTTTTACATTCAATATTACCCCGTTAGTGATGCGTCACGTACCTTGAACATGACTTTAAGGGGTACTAAACTAATGGCACACGTTGGAGGTTTAGATGCGAACACAAGTTATGTAGTACGAATCCGCGCTGTCAGTATTGCAGGCGAGGGATTATGGGCAACTGAGAAATTCACTACCACAACACAAGTTTCTTGTTCGAGGAAGGCTCTAGGAATGGCGGACAAGTCAATACCAGATGTCTATATTAGTTCCTCGTCAAAGAAAGACAATTCAACCTTGGCTTCTTTTGGAAGATTGAATCATTTGTCTTCTTGGTGTGCCTCTGTTAGCGATTCTTCGCCATATCTGCAGGTCGACTTGGGGATGCTTTACGTCATCTGCGCTGCCGCAACGCAAGGGAATCCAATGAATGACGAATGGGTGACGTCATATGAGATGCAATATACTCGTGATGGAATCAACTGGAGACCTGTCTTGGAGAATAATGATATTAAGGTAGAGTTAATGTGATTAGATATTTTAAGATTATTGTTAACCAAACAACAGTTATTCGTTTCTCGGGTTCGATTGGCATCACATGTGAGTTAGTGGTGTTCGTTAGGTTCTCTGGTTTTCCTCCCTTCCCTCGGACAAGGCCCAACATGCTACATTCCAAATCCATATGTGAGCAAATTCAGGGTTTTTAAAAGGAGCGTGACTATTACAGGGTTCCTCCGGCGCAATGCCACAGGAAACACCCAGGAAAATTGTAACAAATTTGGACAAACGGGAGGGGATGCCATAGTCATTCCCTAATCACCAGTGGATCCGTCCCTGATGTGTTTTGTTTTATAGATATTTTCAGGAAATCAGGATCGATCATCAGTTGTCATTCAAGAAGTTCCAGAACAACTTGTGGCAAGGAGCGTTAGGTTTGTGCTTAAGACTTCGAACGGTTCCGTGTGCTTGAGGACTGAGCTGTTTGGAGAACCATATCATCCAGGTAAACCATAATTGGAGTAAATCCAGAGCCATGGCAAAGATCTTTTAAACTGATTTCTTTGGGATTCTTTGCCTGATGTTGGATTCCTCTGAGCAACATTCTGCTTGCCTGCTTGCCTGCTTGCCTGCTTGCCTGCTTGCCTGCTTGCCTGCTTGCCTGCCCATTTATTTACGTACTTCTCCGACATTTACGAGTCCAGGTTGTGCAGAGGTACCAATTGGAGTCGAAAGTCCCAATACCATCCCTGGCCATCGATTTACAGCCAGTTCTTATTTCACCAACGACCACCAACCAAATAAAGCCAGAATGGGCGGAGACTCAGCCTGGAGGCCAAGAACAGATACCAACCCAGACGACTACCTTCAGATTGACCTCGGTACTATATACACCATATGTGTTATCGAGACAGACGGACAGTCACCCACTGATAGAGTACTATCATATGTGGTTTATTACTCACTGGATAATCAGGATTGGGATGTTCTGCTCGATTCACGTGGAATGATAATGGTAAGTGTCCAGTATTTTATGGTAACGTAAGCCACAGCAAGACCATGACTTGAAATTGTCTTTCATAACACTAGTCACAGTAAGGCTAAGACTTGCAATAGATGTTTTTTTAAGAAGTATGGGTTCAGTTCTCCTCATAAACGCCACCCACAGCAAGACCATGACCCCAAATACACGTCATTTCAAAGAAAAGAGCTTAATTTAGTGTTGTTGTTTTTTTCTTTTTTTTTTTTTTTTTTT